CTTTCCCCTCTTACATTATTATAGAACATTGAGAAGCATTTTCTGTGCTATACAGTAGGTCCTTGTTGGTTATCTATTGCAGACATAGCAGTGTGTCCTCATCAGTCCCAAACTCCCCATCTATGTCTCCTCCCAGCCTGTCCCAGCTGGCAACCATAAATCCATTCTCTAAATCTGTGAGTCTGTGTTTGGTGAATAAGTTAATTTGTATCATTTTTTTTTTAATTCCACATGTAAGCAATATCATGTGGTATTTGTCTTTGTCTGACTTCACTTAGTCTGATAGACTCCAGTTCCATCCGTTTTGTTACAAACAACATTAATTTTTTCTTTTATTTATTTATTTATTTTTATTCTTTTAAATGACTAAATAATATCGTAATATTGTACATATATACCACCTCTTCTTTATCCATTCAACTGTTGATAGACTCTTACATTGGTTCCATGGCTTGACTATTGTAAACAGCCTTCCTTTCTCACCGATTCCTTCAACCATTCCAACAAATGTAATTTAGTCTCGAGTCCTTGCTTTTGCATTGCTTCTTTTTCCAATGGTCTTCTCAAAATCTGTTTTTGCAGACTTCCACCAACTACACCTCTTGTGGACTGACAGTGATAAAGTGGAGTGCTGAGCTTACTAGCTTACTTTCACTACTTTCAAATAATTAAAAGTGTTCATGAAGAATGTTTCTTAACCATTGCAATGATAACTTTGGTATCCAGCTGTTTGGTTTTTACCAATGGGCAAGTCTTTCAACTGGTGCTTTATTTTACCTTCCATTACGTTTGATCCTATACTCATTTCTATCTCCTCTAAGTGAAAAAAACAGCAGAAATATTTTCAGGCATAATCTTGTATGAATGGGAGGAAATTCTAGAACTTCTGTCCCTCCCTCCTCCTCCTAGGTTTTGCTGCTATCTTGAAAAAACATTGCTTTTGCTACCAACACAAGTTTCCCTTCCCCCCACTTTACCAAGTTCACTAACCACCTCTCTGTATGATGAATAGTATTGTTTTGTGAAGTGGCTGAAATTTCAATATATTTTGTGAGCTACTTGAGTACTGTTTTTTTCTCCTTTTGGAGACTAGCCTTCTCTCTTCTTTTAATTTTATTAGATATTATTTGTTTTAAAAACTATTTACTTACTTATTTGGCTGCTCCAGATCTCAGTTGTGGCATGTGGGATCTTAATTGTGGCTTACTCAGTTGGGTATGTGGGATCTAGTTCCCCAACCAGGAATTGAACTTGGACCCTCTGCATTGGGAGCTTGGAGTCTCAGCCACTGCACCACCACCTTTCTTTTTTAAAGAAAGGAAATATCTTGATAAAAATTGAAATAAGCATCTAGTAGCTGACCAGTTCAGTTCCCATCCTAAACTGGATGTTTCTCCTAGATTTCTGTCAATGTCACAATAACATGTGATTAAGATCAAAACATCTTTAGTGCCAAGGCTTCAGAAAACAGAAGTGTATTATAGTAGCAGCACACGCTTCTACTCCGTGTCCCCGACTTTTCTGAAGCATATGTTTGTCTGCAGAGATGTCAGGTCAAGGTTAAAGATTTCTGATGCTCACCAACATAGTCATGTTTGACTTTTTTTTTTTACTGTCTAAACCATGGATGGTATCTATGAGAAGTTTTATAATCTGGTAGGTACCTTGTTGTGATTTTTGCTTCCAAAATCAGTTCTTCAGTAAACACAACATTGCCCAGAAGACACTGAAAAGGGTTAAAGCTCTAGTTCTGATTGCTTATATGGATGGATATATCCATGACATAAATTGAACAATTCAGATCTCCAAAAGCTAGCTAACCCTACGCCTTACAAAAATAAAGTTACAGAAGTCGTCTAGCATCAGGGTTTCCAAATTAAGTGCCCACTGCTTCCTGCTCAAAAATTATTTGCATATACAGAAATCCTTTTTGAAGAAAATTTTTAAAATTTGCTCTGACCAAGGCTTTGAAACATTACATTGTTAATTGTGGTGATTCTTTCCCGATTCCAGACAAAATTTGGAGAAAAGTGGGACTTCCCTGGTGGTCCAGTGGTTAAGACTCTGCTCTTATACTGCAGGGGGTGCAAGTTCAATCCCTGGTTGAGGAAGTAAGATCCAGTGTGCTATGTGGCACAACAAAAGAAGAAAAGAAAAGAAAAAAATTGGAGAAAAACAAGATAAAGACCTAGACCTTTAATAAAAGGTGAAAGATAGCTTTTTTAAAGAATAAGAGAAATATAATGCTTTATAGTGTTCTGTTTTCTCACCACTCTTGGTCAGATATAGGGAGAGTACTGGCATTTGGGGCTAGACACAAGGGTTCCCCAACTGCCTTTGGAGGACAGACTTCTGGCAATGTGTGGTCTCAGTCCAGATTCAGTATTTTTCATAATATAAAGCACACAAAACAAAACAAGTTTTAAAATCTCTCCTTAAGTCTTCTCACTCTCCTCCTAAAGTGACATAAAGAAATCCCATTATCTTTCTACTCTCCTTCTAACCCTCTATTGTGTACTTCTTTTAGTCTTAAACTGGTTGTAATTGGAATTTCCCTGGTAATCTAACAGGTAAGACTCCCAAAGCAGGGGGCCCGGGTTCAGTCCTGGCCAGAGAACTATATCCCACATCCTTCAATTAAAGATCCATTATCTAGGGTGAAACAGATCACCAGCCCAGGTTGGATGCATGAGACAAGTGCTCAGGTAGAGAGGGAGGTGAAAGGGGGGATCGGGATGGGGAATACATGTAAATCCATGGCTGATTCATCTCAATGTATGACAAAAACCACTACAATATTGTAAAGTAATTAGCCTCCAACTAATAAAAAGAAATGGAAAAAATAAAATAAAATAAAGATCCTGCAGGCTGCAACAAAGATGGAAGATCTCAAGTGCTGCAATTAAGACCGGGCACAGCTAAATAAATAAGTATTAAAAAAATAAATAAATCCTAAGAATTCTCATCACAGTTCAGTTCAGTTGCTCAGTTGTGTCTGACTCTTTGCGACACCATGAACCACAGCACGCCAGGCTTCCCTGTCTATCACCAACTCCCAGAGCTTGCTCAAACTCATGTCCATCAAGTCAGTGATGCCGTCCAACTATCTCATCCTCTGTCGTCTCCTTCTCCTGCCTTCAATCTTTCCCAGCATCAGGGTCTTTTCCAGTTCTTTGCATCAGGTGGCCAAAGTATTGGAGCTTCAGCTTCAGCATCAGTCCTTCCAGTGAATATTGAGGACTGATTTCTTTAGGATTGACTGGTTGGATCTCCTTGCTGTCCGAGGGACTCTCAAGAGTTTTCTCCAACACCACAGCTCAAAAGCATCAATTTTTCGGCACTCTGCTTTCTTTATCACAGGGAAACATTTTAAAAATGGTAGTGATCAATAGCTATAATTACTGAGCATGCTCTGTGTGCCAGGCACTGAGCTAACCATTTTTTGAGGATTTCCTTATGCAATCATAGCAACACTATGACTTGGAACTATTACTGCTCTCATTTTACAAATGAGGAAACTGATGTTTCAAGGTAGTAGGTGATTTGTCCAAAAATCCACAGCCAGAAGAGATAGGACAGGGATTTGAAGTCAGGCATTCTGATTCCAGAAGCAATAGACCCCTTTATGGTCTGATATTTATACCCGAGTGTTAATTATCTTGAAGTCTTGCAAAAAGAATTAAGCCTGAAAATTTCTCCCTAACCTAAGGTTAATCATTCACTCTGTTTTCCTCCCCCAAATCCACAGAGCTTAACAGATTGTGCAAATCAGGACATAAACCTCTGGGTGGAACATCAAATCAACTGTTATGTAAGTAGGCACTGACCTTTCAAGTATGTGCTATGTTCTCTTGAACTGTCCTAATGAAGCATGAGGGTTAGACAGGCAAATCAATCAGCAAGTGCCTTTTATGAAAAGACCTTGATCCCAACAGAGTGAAAATAGGTATCATTTCATGTCCACTTGGTTCATTTTTTTCTTTAACTAAAAAAAAAAATTTTCTCTTCCCTCATTCCATTTCTGTTTTTATTATTATTATTAATTTTATTTTTAATTAGAGGATAACTACTTTACAATGTCATGCTGTTTTTTGCCATATATCAACTTGAATCAGTAAGAGGTATACTTATGTCCCCTCCTTCTTGAACCCCGTTCACACCTTTTCTCCATCCCATCCCTCCAGCCTGTCACAGAGCACTGGTTTTTGTTCCCTGCATCATACAGCAAACTCCCCCTGGCTGGCTATTTTACATATGGTAATACATATGCTTCAGTGCTAGTCTCTCTAAAATCATCCCACTCTTTCCTTCTCCCACTGACTCCAAAAGTCTATGCTTTATGTCTGTCTCCTTTGTTGCCCTACGTGATCTCTGGTACCATCTTTCTAGATTTCATTTACATGGGTTAATATACAATATTTGTCTTTCTCTTTCTGACTTACTTCACTCTGTATAATAGACCCTAGATTCATCTACCTCATTAAACTGACTCAAATGTGTTCCTTTTTATAGCTGAGTAATATTCCATCATGTACAAGCACCAAACTTCCTTATCCATTCATCTGTCAGTGGACATCTAGGTTGCTTCCATGTCCCATTATTGTAAATAGTGCTGCAGCAAATATTGGGGTACATGTGTCTTTTTCAGTTATGGTCTCCTCAGAGTATATGCCCCGTAGTGGGATTGCTGGGTTGTATAGTAGTTTCAATACTAGTTTCTTAAGGAATCTCCATACTGTTCTCCATAGTGGCTGTGTTAATTTGCATTCCTACCAACAGCATAAGAGGGTTCCTACCCTCATTTCTTTATGATCTGTGGGTTTTTAGTTCCCCTATATGCTAAGTCACTTTAGTTATATCTGGCTCTTTATGACCCCATGGGATCACAGGCTCCCCTGTCCATGGGATTCTCCAGGCAAGAATGCTAGAGTGTGTTGCCATGCACTTCTCCAGGGGATCTTCCTGACCCAGGGATCGAACTCACATCCCTTCCATCTCCTGCATTGGCAGGCAGGTTCTTTACCACTAGCGCCACCTAGGAAGGCTTTTAATTCCCTATCAGGGATCAAACTATGCCCCCTGCAGTGAAAGCACAGTCTTAACCACTGGATCACCAGGGAAATCCTTGAAATCAGCTAGTGTTTAAATCCAGGGTTGAGTTTCAATGCCAAGTCAATAAAAAGTTATTGTGAGTGTTACCCTAGCTTAGCTAAGCTTCCTAAAAGATTCTATCAATTTCCTAAATGAATGTCTTTCAAATATGTCTCCCTTATCTCCATGCTAACTCTCACTGCCTAGAGGTTCTTCCATCTTTGACCTCAAGTGTGTCAGTATGTCCCAAGCTGCCTCCAGATGATCTTTACAAAAATTCAGTGATGACACTCACTACTACAAATAGTTTTATTTGCTCCCAAGTCACAATAGAATAAAATCTTAACTACCTAGGCATGACTTTCAAAGGCCTTCATTATCAAAACATTCCCTTGATTGGTTGTGTCTTTTACAGTCAAACCAAAACACTTCCATTTATCCTAATATGCCCATTTTCCTAATAAGGAATATTAACGTTAGTCTTAATGTGTGGCACTAAGGAATAAATGACACGGGAGCTACAGATAGCCTGCTGCTGCTGCTAAGTTGCTTCAGTGGTGTCCGACTCTGTGCGACCCTATAGACGCCAGGCCACCAGGCTCCCCCGTCCCTGGGATTATCCAGGCAAGAACACTGGAGTGGATTGCCATTTCCTTCTCCAATGTGTGAATGTGAAAAGTGAAAGTGAAGTCGCTCAGTTGTGTCCAACTTGTAGCGACCCCACGAACTGCAGCCTACCAGGCTCCTCCGTCCATGGGATTCTCCAGGCAAGAGTACTGGAGTGGGTTGCCATTGCCTTCTCCGACAGATAGACTAGATGCCTCTTGTTCAAGGATAGGCTCTGCCAGGGCTTGGGGTGGAAAGGAGAAATCCAACAATAACCGTTTAGCCATCAATATCACAGTCAACCTTCAATTTCCATTTAAAACTCCCTTGCTTCTCTTGGGTGAATAAACAGGGAATCTTTATAAAATACTGCTCTGTCCCAGCACCTTCCAAGCAGAGATCATTTTTCCAAAGGGCAACAAAATATTCTGCTGGTGCCAAACATCTTGAGCACAAACTGGGGTGTGGTATACTGTTTATGTTTGATAGTGAGTGAAAAATATTGAGCAATGACCTCAAATAACTCTCCCCCACTCTCTCACTCTCTCTCTCTCACACACACGCACACACACACTTTTGAACAAAGCCTCTTCCCTAAGTAGACAGCTCTTGAGAGATACAGTTTGCTGACCACATATGATTGCTGATTGATGGATTTTTGGTTTTCACCAAAGAGTTTGTCTCTCATGTCCATTGATTCTTTCTGCTTATTGTTGTCATTCAATCAGAAGCAGGGTATAGATACACTCAAGGTTCCCTCTGGTTTTCATGGGAGATACATTTCACAGGAGATGCATTCTTGAGTTCTTTATCAGGGTAAATGGATAATTCTGGGGCTTCACTGGTGTCTTAGTGTTAAAGAACCCACCTGCCAATGGATTCAATCCCTGGGTGGGGAAGATTCCCTGGAGAAAGAAATGGCAACGCACTCTAGTATTTTTGCGTGGTAAATCCCATGGACACAAGGAGCCTGGTGGGCCACAGTCTATGAGATTGCAAAAGAGTCAGACATGAGTTAGTGACTAAACAATAACAACAACATGGGAAATTCTACACAGGCAATGGCCAGCAACATCAAAACCTTCTATCTGGTTGAAGCAGATTAGACTCCAAATTTTCTTAAAATTCTGTTAGGTATACATTTTTGCAGTGATCCATGACAACGCATCTAACTCAACAATATGAAACTAAATTAAACCCCTTTGCATTCACCAAATGTTCTGCCAGAAGGAATCTTTGTGTTTTGTCAAGGTAAATAAACTAAATGTTTCCCTCTACAGTCAAGTCTCATTTAAAACCACACTTAAATGTTTAAAGATACACATTTCTACCAGATGTTCTTTCCCCAAATCATCTGGATTTTATAGAATGTTTATCACTATTTTTTCTGCCATAACTCTTGCAGTGAAATCTGTTTTTTCAGGAAAGAGTTTCAGCTTTACCATCTATTGAGTCTGCATAGATGAGAAACCAATTTGCTTAATTCAATAAACTGCTCTGTGCTCCAGAAGTAGATATTTGTCACTTGAGTATCAATGTAACTGTCACCCAGGAATGTGACAGCTTGGTTCCCCACAGCAGCTGAATTCCTGCGGTAAACATGCCCCTCCACATTCTTTGGAAACCAAACCACAAAAGTCAGGGGGTGCTTCTCTGAACTTTGCTCCACACCAAGCATTTTTCACAGTTTTCTAATGGACTCAGGTGGACGTTTTTTTCTATATCCATGTCCACAGTACAGCTTGGCGCTCACTTCAGTGGCTACTCAAAAGATTTAAGGTCATGGAGATCTGTATAAGTCTTTATTTCAGTCAGAATTATTTATCCGCCTTTCAGCAGCACATATGGTTTAAGGCAAATACAGTAGCTATTTCCTCTTTTTCAGTCGAGTCAAAAGGACTCATCTTGGCGATGTTTTGTGCACTTCCAAATGGAGAAAAATATTTGACGTCTCAATGGAAAGCCACGGCCAGCCAAGAGAGTTTCATTTTTCCTGTTTAATGAATGTGAATGTTTCCTTTAAATCTGGATTTATTTATTTATTTTTATGATCTAAAAAAGTTTAATAAGTATAATATCATTATGTTAATAATATTAATTAATGCATGTACATATATACAGGACTTCCCTGGTGGCTCAGGCATAAAGAACCTGCCTGCATAATCTGGATTTAAAGACCTAAGTTGGCTTGCTATGCATCTTCATTTCTGGTTACTACCTAGCCAGAGTTTTTTTCTATTGTTCAGACATCCCTCCAGTTTCATCTGAGTCTTCATTCACATCTCCTCTTCTCAAAAACAGAAAAAGTTTTATGTGCCTAAATATCCACATATGTATGTGTATGGTATGTAGCATATATATGTGCTCAGTCATGTCCAACTCTTTGCAGCCCCATAGACTGTAGCTCACCAGGCTCCTCTGTGGAATTATCCAATCAAGAGTACTGAAGTAGGTTGCCATTTCCTCCTCCAGGGGATCTTCCCAACACAGGGATCAAACCCACATCTCTTGTATGTCCTGCATTGGCAGGCAGTTCCTTTATCACTGCCTCAACTGGGAAGCCCTGTGTGTATATACATGATGAAACTGAAGAAAAATTCCCCCATATTTTATTTCTGTATCTCTTTTTGCTCTTTCTCTCTTATCAAGAATAAATAGATAAGTATAACACAATATGTTTGATGATACAGCAGAATGTCAGGGGCTTTTTTTTAGAATTTTTATTGGAGTATAGTTGCTTGAATATCAGTTTTTTAAAAGTTTAAAAATAGTTGTTCTTAAATATAGGGCCTTAAATTTAAATTGGCAGAAATGCCCAAGGTAATATCCTTTCTCTGTAGACTACATTTTTACTTTGAGATTGCAGGTATTTTCTTGAGATGTCATTATCATACAGTTCATTTGCATTCTCACATGTGTATAGCTTTTAATTTTTCAATAATTTTATTTCTTACTATATACAAAGCATAGTGTTAGCAAAGATTGCATATTCAAGTGTTGACAGCATCTTGGAAAGTGTCATAAATAAGTGATTTAGAAGTGGTGACCATGGCAAATGAGAGAATACATCCCTTGCCTGAAGAGGAATGCAACTGCTGCTATAGGAAGTACAGG